TGAAATATCTGTTTCATGTATTACTGAGAAATCACCCATTTTTTTTCTACCTAGCATAGGGCTTAAAGGATAGGCTATTTTCAGAATCTAATGCTGTAAATTAATTCTCAGGATTTATAAATCATAATTTTCAATAGTTTAACTTGGGCACATTTAGACACACATGAAAGAAACACACAAAAGTTAGTACAAAGTATCTTGTTTATTATTCATAGTACAGTATTACAACCTTAGGTGAACAATCATACTACCTAAATCAGTATACTCATTTTTAATTCAACTAAATATATGCCTTAATTTACAGTAACTAAAGGAAGACATGAAATTGTTCCAAAAGATATAAGGGAAGAAGCAGAGAAATATGCTAAGGTGAGCTTCAGCATTAAAAACTTTACTAATTAAAATCATGTATTGATGATAAAGGAACTTGCCTATTAAATACTGAAGAGTTGAACCAAGGGTAGACATTTTCTAGGTTATCTCCAGTGGAAATAAAGTTGCACTCTGGTTCCAAAGTTTTTTTGGGGGGTTAAAAGTAGACAGGGTTTTCAGGACACAAAATGCTTTTCAGTTGTATATATTCTAAAGAAGTATTCGTTTTTCATTTTTAAATTTTTTAGATAAATTTTTAATGAGTGCTAATAAGTGGGACATAATGATATTAATCAAATATAAATACCATTTTTCTCTTAACAGGAATCTTTGAAGGAAGAGGATGAATCAGATGATGATAATATGTAACATTTACTTCAGCATCTATTCTGTTATAAATTTCTATAACAGTTCCATGTAACTTTAGCCCCTGACCAGTTTTCATTAAATTTTTGACTTGTAGCCACTGAAGTTTGGTTAATATCTACTTGACATAATTGAAGAAATGATCAATGACATTCATTACATTTGCTTATTGTTAAAATACAGACTTACGCCTACTACTAAAATTCCTTAGAATACTGTAAATTGAGTCTTTGGAATAAGATGAATTCAGTCTGTTTGGTTCTTTTATACTGGTCATCAGCCAGTTTTGACTTTTTAGGTGTAAGAAAGATGTTTTCAATTTTTTAGAAAGACACTATCTGAGAAGTCAAAAAAATATTTTTGCTTTTTTCCTTTTATTGTGGTAAGTTAAGGATTTCTGTTATGTCACTTTCTGTCTTTACAAAAATCAGAACTGTGGCCTGAAAGAATTACAAATGTGCCCTGAACAGCACTACTCAGAGCAGGAACAATCTGAACTCAGGCCAAGTATACACACCCTAAATTGAGTTCATGCCAGCATCACTCCATTCAACTGTTATTGCTTTCTTTCCTAAGAAGGTAATCTAGTCACTGAGAGTTTAGCTGCAGGGTATTGCTGGGCTTTGAGCATCTTACCACGAATTCCATAGTATGAGATTACCTGCTATATTTTACAAATCATTCTTAGCAGAAAGTGATAAGTGTTGGCCTTGGACAAATGCCCAAATAATACTAAACTGGATCTATTTTCAGACAGAAATTGACTCTCCCTCAGTCAACTAGGGCCAGTCCTAAAACTTCACTTACTATGTTGTGGGCTTAACTGTTCTTAAATTCCTATCAGTACAGCTAATAACCCTCTATAAGAGAAGACACTGGTACTAGAGAAATATAAATTTACCATGATACTGGATTAATCTAAACTTAAAACATATACAACATATACCTAATTTGATATCTATTATGAAAGAAAAATGAGAGATTTTCATTATTAATGTAGGTTTAATTGTAGGGCCATTCTGTAATCATATCATTGAGAAATGGCAAGCCTCCAGGAAAAAAAGCTGATATGTTTTACTTTGACATGAATACAATGTTTAAGACTGAATACCTTATTGCTGTAAATCATCTTGATACTGGTACCTTAAAAAACAAAAACAAAACATAATTTTTAAAGAACAAAGTTCTAGTTTAGAGTTTCCAACATAATATATTTAGAATGTAAAATAACTTATCTGATGAGATGATCCATCTGTTTTTATTTCTGTCACTCCTAAAGGGACCTAAAAAATGAAGTCACAGGTTATTAATATGATGGAAACATTGGAATAAATTTCACAAGGTAAGCAGCAAATTAAAATTATAGTGTTTCCATTTTATAAAAATATCAACATTTCAAAATACTAAGAAACCAGAAGAAATCCTTAAATGAAACTGTGTTTATGTATAATATTAACTCCTAATGTTTCTCTAATTTTTAAATTTCTTACCTTTGGAAATGCAATCCAGACTTGACCTAGATTTTACTTTCCTATATCCATACTATGTGCCTAGGCTATTTCTTGACAGGTCTTTCCTAATGGCTCCCACCAAACTGCCTTCAAAAATAATAGTTAGAATTCCCCTTGCCAAAAACCCTCTTTACATGTTTCTTATTTAAATGTCAGGTTTTTAAAAACCCAAGAATAACAGTGCAGTTGCTCCTAACCCTAAATAAAACTTTGGTTCTACCACTGAGACTGTTTGTATAAATCTACAATGTCTTTAATGAAATAAGTGTATAGCCCCCCAGACTATAGGTACTTGACCTACATTTTACAAGAAGTTATTTAAAACAACCAAAAAAAAAAAAAAACACACTTCCTACTTTTTATCTGGTGAACAAGGAGTCAGGCATCCAAATGCTCAAGGCACATGTCTTTTAAAAAATGGTTAGTTAGGTGTAGTAGTAGGGGTTCATTTAGACATAGTCATACATGCATGTAATAAAATTTGCTCCATTTCAACCCTGTATTTCCACTTTCCCTGCCCTCTTCCCTCTCCCGGTACACATCTTACAGAAATAATTCCTAGTAGTAAAGTACAAAGTAAGGTATAATATTTTAAAATACTGGCTCAAAAATGTCAGTGATTTATCTGAATTTCTGGAAAACTGAAGCTCAGAAATATGTAACATTTGTAGGATCAATTCTTATACTGAAGCACAGTAATGGGATTTTTCTTGACAAAAGAAGCTGGGGGCTTCTAGCCTACTTCAGTGTAAACAAATTAAGAAAGATAGCATTATAATTAAACCTAGGATATAGTTTATAAATTGATACAGGTTTCAATCTGGCTGGCTTTGTCATTTTTAATAATTGTGATTTTGGAGAATTACTAAATTTCATCCATACAGTGAGGATTTATGTACCATTTAAAAAAGCAACAAAAAAGTAAAGATAGAAATTTAAACTTAAAAAGAATTAGAAGTGATCAGAAGACCGAGTATGGTTAAAACATCAATTTGCAAAGGGATTTATAAATTCAATGTAAACCTAATCTCAAGAGGCACAGAGAGCAGGAAGGGTAAAATTAATAAGCTGTTTCTAAAATTTTTATAAGAAAAGCAATTTGAAAAGACAAAATAGTATAGAAAAAGAACACGCAGAGAAACTACCTGGCTTCAAAACTTACTATTAGGGGATGCAGCTAAGTGGTGTTTGCCTAGTATGTGTGAGATTCTGGTTTGATCTTTTAACACACCAAAGAAACAAAAACAAAAATCCAGACTTAACTCTAATGCTCCAGACACAATGTTAATGGGACACAATGGAGTTCAAAATCAGATTTCAAATATGATCAACTGAGTGAAAAGGCAAATCAGTGGAGAAAGGAATGATTTTTCAACAAATGATGCTAGAATACTGGGACACCTATCCACAGGATAATTCCAAAAAAATATACAAAGATCTCTTATTGGTTTTAAGAAAGAATCATCCATTAAATCCATTAAAGTTACACAATAAAAAGTTTCAAGAATGACAAAATAGGAAAAACTGAGGAAAAAAACTTGCAAATCATCTAACAAAGGACTTGTGCACAGCAGATACACAGAACTTTCAAAATGACGCAACATGAAATACCCTAATTGTAAAAAAATGGACAAAAGAGTCAGGCAATTCACTAAACAAGATACACTGATGGCAAATACCTATGTGAAAAGATGCTTTTCACTATTAAGAGAAATACATATTAAAATTACAATGTGTTATCACTCAGCTTAAATAGTGTATAATTAAAGACAAATCACCAAGTACTGGTGAGGATGTGGATTAACAGGAATGGTCATTGCTGCTGTAAAGTAAAATGGTATGGCTGCATTTGAAAACAGTTCGCCAATTTCTTATGAAGTTTAACACTTAACACATAACTCACTGTTCCTACTGACAGGTGTATACTTGAAATGGAAACTAAGGCTGTATGACTCATACATACTGCTTAATTACAACTGTGATATTTTGGAAAAGGCAAAACTTGCAAGGATCAGAAAAATATCAGTTTTTCATGGGGCAAGAAAAGATACTTCAAAGTATTTACGAGATTATACTTCTGGGCTGAGACTGGCTCAGTGGTGGAGTGCTCACCTAGCACATGGGAGGCACTGGGTTTAATCCTCAGCACGATGTAAAAATAAATAAAATAAAGGTATTGTGGCTATCTACAACTTGAAAAAATTCAAAAAGAGATTTTACTTCTGTCATAAGGCTAAACAGCAGAATGAAGCAATAGGGGCAAGAGGTATTTAAGAAAACTCATTTTGATTTTACGAGAAATGTTATAAAAATATACAACTTGCTGGGTGTGGTGGCACACACCTGTAATCCCATCGGCTCAGGAGGCTGACACAGGAGGATCTCGAGTTCAAAGCCAGCCCCAGCAAAAGGGAGGCACTAAGCAGTGAGACCCTGTCTCTAGATAAAATACAGAATATTGCTGGAGATGTGACTCAGTGGCTGAGTGCCCCTAAGTTCAATCACCTGTACCCAAGAACAGTATATAACTAGGTGAAAAAGGGGAAATTAACAGCAGATGGTTTCACATATTTTGAACTCAACATCAACTTTTTTTAAATTTTTTTTTTTTTTTTTTAGAGAGAGAGTGAGAGAGAGAATTTTAATATTTATTATTTTTTAGTTATCGGCGGACACAACATCTTTTGTTTGTATGTGGTGCTGAGGATCGAACCCAGGCCGCACGCATGCCAGGCAAGCGCGCTACCGCTTGAACCATATCCCCAGCCCCTCAACATCAACTTTCAAAAAGAGCAACACAAAGGTGTTAGGAGAATTATTTCCAACATATAGGTGGATGAAGAGTTCAGGGCCCCCAATCAGGAACTGTATAATTGTTCATTTAATGGTCAGAGATTAAAAACCATCTCTTATTTTATTTTTATTTTTTGTTAACTTTACAGTTTTAAGCTTTTACTCAAAGCAGTAGCAATCTTTATTTAGAATACAACCTTTGAGAAGAATTAGTTTTACTAACATTTGAATTTAATTCTTTCCTTTTTTTCAAAAGAAGGAAGTGGCTTAATTTTTCATGAAACCAGAAGGTGGAGGGAAGCATTATCTTGGTGAATATTAGTTTTCTTTCCTCTGTAAGAAGCATGTCCAGTAGAAAATGCTCTGTGCATTTGTCTGTGAATGTAAAAAGCATCTCATTTTACTGATAGGTCAAGGAAGAGAAATGTATCAGAAAAGTATCAATTTGGTAAAATAAGAACTTGGTTCGACCACAGTATAGCAAGATTCCCTTACCTGCAAGGTAGAGGTTTATAGTGAAAGCATGCTTTGACATATTTTATTAACTATTAGTTCACTTCACAGGACTGAAAAAGCAACACTAATTCATTATTTCTAACTCATGTTCTATTTATTCATTACTTTAGTTACAAAAGATTCCCTGTACCAACCCCTCTTCAGTACTAGGGACTGAACCCAGGGCCTCACACAAGCTAGGCAAGCATTCTACCATTAAACTATCCTCAGCTCTTTTAAATTTCGAGACAGGGTCTCACTAAGGTGCCCAAGACTAACTTCTAACTTTTGATCCTCTTGCTTCAGCCTCCCAAGAAGTTGCAATTATAGTATGTGCCACTGTGCAAGATTTTTAAAATGGTATTACTGCAACTTTTGTACAATATATTCCACACACTCACAATGTAGTGATACATTTCTATTCTAACATTTGAATTTTAACTGTTCCCACTGTTATTTGGAATAAACTGAATGCAATTCTTCTATATTTCTAGAATAAAGTCTATTAGAGGGGCTGAGGCTGTGGCTTAGTGGTAGAGTGCTCGCCTAGCTTGTGCGAGGTGCTGGGTTCGATCCTTAGCACCACATAAAAATAAATAAATTAAATAAAGGTATAAAAAAATCACATCAATCTTAAAAAAAAAAAAAAAAAGGTCTATTAGAAATGAACACAGACCGTTCCTTCAGAGGTGACATAATTCATTCACAAACACAAACATGTTTGACACAGACAGCTGAAAGGCAAGCCATAATACTGGCAAGTCATAACACTAAAAATTTCTGACAGCAAGCAGTTTCTCTTCCTTCCTGGCAATCCTCTCTCTCATGATACAAAGCCAAATGCAGCTTTCTGACAAATGACTTTATGTGGAGACATGACGTGCCATTTTCCTCCCCCTCTCGATATTTGGATGGCTTCCAAAGTGAATTTCAGGAGACGCTTTAAACATGAAACTCAAACCAGCCTACTTTAAAATCTATTCTTTTCCCTAAATGGAAATCTGACAAAACAGGAAGTACCCAGCAGCAGAGAAGCAAGTTCTGCAACTTTAATATTTACTGGGAACAGCCTAGTTCTTCATGACTATGTAATAAAAATGCAGAAGTTCAAAACTGGGTGGAAAACAGCAAAGTTTGCGGTAGCATACGTAATTTTAAGGCCTTAAAAGCAGTATCACATGATAAATAGAGAAATAAGAAACCGCAAAAGGGCCTTTTGTTTGGCTATATTTCCTTGTATGAAAATCCCTTTCCCGGTTCCTTCTGACTAAGATATAAGCCACCAAAACTATACAAACAGCGATATGGTGGCATATAAAAATTTAGAAACGGGTTTTTTTTGAGAATCAGTAAGAATTTTAGTTTGGTTTGAGGGAACCAATGGGGCAAAGTGAGATTTTTTTTCTTGCTTGCTGTAGCATTTGAGGTAACCCTGCATGTGAATAAATATAAACCCCTAAGTGGTCTGTTAGGATCAGCAGAGTCAATAACATATTATCAAACATACCACCAGCCAAAAACAAAAACAAAAACAAAACCCCCTTCCTCCATGACTTATTCATGCCCTACTTTAAAGCTGTGGCATGAAATAACTAACTAGAGGACTTTTCAATACCAATTAACTTGTATCTTAATTTTTAAACTATCACTCCTAAAGAGCAGTACAGTATACTAAAAGGCCTAAAGTCCTAAATAAATATCATCATCTATCCTTTCCTTCCTCCCTGGCAAAAGCAAGATGAGATCCACAGGCAGTCAGGAAATGTGTGATTATGTATTAATAAGTCATGTATTAATATAACAGATCACATATTAATAAATAAGAGGAACTGGGAATTGTGACACAGGCCTATAATTCCAGCTACTTAGGAAGCCGAGGCAGGACAACCTCAAGTTTTGAGAACAACTTTTTGAAATCCTAACTCAAAATTTTTAAAAAAGGGAGTGGAACGAGGATGTACTTTAGCAGTAGAGTACTTGCTTAGCATGCTTGGGGTCCTGGATTCAATCACTACCAAATAAATAAATATTTTCTCCTGTAACTGATTTAAGTACACTGAACAGTATGGAAAACAGAAGCTTCTCTGTAATGAAATTAGTTGGTAGTCATGCTTAGCTATTATTTGAAATTTACTTTAGTGTCCAATGAAAACAAAACTCTTAATAAATGGGTTAGAGACAGAACTCAGTGTATAGTGCTTGTTTAGCATGTTCATGGCCTTGGGTTTGATTCCCAGTGAGGGGGGGAAAAAAAAAGAAAACAAAAAAATCCTTGAAAATAAGGAGGGCCATTAAAACTTGTCAGAATATTATTCTATGTAATATGAACATCACCTACTTCCTTAAATGCTAAAATTATCAAGTCAGTGCCTGATACTTCTGATTTGGGTATGAGAAGTACACAATGTAATTCCTATTTGAAAAATGTGGTGCTGGATTACAAATTTCAAACATTAAGAGTTATAAATACCTAGCCCATGAAGTTTATTCTCTAAAAGCAAAAATTCATGCAGTGACTATCTCAGAGGTCACAGTAACGAGTAAAACCAACAGGCTTATAATTACAACATAACATCTGTTTTTCAAAGCCAGTGTTACTATATTATGATGCTCCTTTAATTCAATGTCCTACTAAGTTATTATAAAAATTCTAAGAACTGCTTCTTTAGATGTATGATATGGCTCTGATATTTCAATTTATCTCCCTAATTTCCATAATTCTCATTTCTTGTAAATCTTAAAGGCCCAAACCCTTATCAGTATCACAGCAACTAAGGATAAAATAAACATACTCAAGAATATCTCATCCAATTCCTATTCTCATTTCTAGTGTCATGGATTATGGTATTGTGGTTTTTAAAAAGTACTTACATGGTAAAATTATGAGTTCAAAAACTTATTGATCCAGGTGGCCTAGTTACTGGCAAGTTAGTCCTTGCCAAACTTTTCTGAAAGAAAATATTCTAATGAAAATTCCTAATTTGTGCATAGTTCCCATAGTGCTATTACCCCTCCATAGGCTCTTGAGCCCGATTCAATTCCCAAAACTTTAAGTGCTCTAATTTTAAGGCACTGATTAAGGGGTTCTTAGATGTACAAATACTGAAAAAGCACATCTTTAATGACATACATTTGTCTATTAAATGCCATCTTTTGCTTGCTATACATTTTATAACATTTCATTCTACAAATAAGTACCCACAAATGCCAAGGCCTATGATGGCTCCTAAACTTACAAAGGTGAACAAGGTATATGCTCTCTATCTATAAAGATTTCATGACAAAGTGAAGGACATATAAATAAATGAAAAAGCTAAAATGCAATACAGAAAGTGGCAGGAATTATGTAGGAGAAAACATGGTGATATTACTTGTAACTACACCTATAGTGCTATCAAGGAAGCTTTACTTAAAATGTATTTGAATATGCAGAGATAAGGCAACATTCTAGGAGGCTGGACTATTACCGAAAACAGAAAAAGGAACAGGAAAAGCATGAGGCTTGTAGAGGGGAAAATGACAGTGGAGAGTGACTGTTGCATATGATTTTTTTTTTTTTAAGAAAGAAAGAGAGAATTTCTTAATATTTATTTTTTAGTTTTCGGCGGACACATCTTTATTAGTATGTGGTGCTGAGGATTGAATCCAGTGCAGCGCGCATGCCAGGCAAGCACGTTACCGCTTGAGCCACATCCCCAGCCTGGCATATGATTTTTGAAGGGAAGAAATAGGAAATAACATTGAAGAAAGGTTGTTATGACCTTGAAGAGGGTCTATAACATAAGAGAGTCGTCTAGCTGCTTTATCTCTGTAATAAATATGATAACATAATAATTTAAACTCTCCTGGGATAACACTCATGTAATAATATTCACATTAAGACCACCTGATTCATAAGTACTTCCTAAAAACTTGGTTATCATTCTAATAGCACTTCACATGTATTAATGTAATTCTAATCCCAACCTTGTCAGATGAATTCTCTTATTGATGGGGTAGAAAATAAGAGAAATATATCCTAAACCACTAAATTCCCTGGCTACATCTTCACATACTAAACCTAGAAGTATTTCTTTGCTATTCCTGAAATATTTTAAAATATTTTTTTAGTTGTAAAGGGGACATAGACTCTCTTTGTTTATTAATTTACTTTTTATGTGGTGCTGAGGCTTAAACCAGTGCCTCACACATGCTAGGCAAGCACTCTGCCACTGATCTATAGCCCCAGCTCCCTGAATGTTTTTTTTGTATTTTTGTTGTTGTTGTTTTGTATTGGGGATTGAACTCAGGAGTGCTTTATCACTGAGATACATCCCCAGTCCTATTTTTTTTAAATTTGAAATTTTGAGATAGGGTCTTGCTAAATTGCCCAGGCTGGTCTGGAAATTATTATCATCCTGCTTTAGTCTTCCAAGTTGCTGGGATTACAGGAATGTGCCACAGAATGGTTTGTTTTTTTTTGGTGCTGGAGATCAAAACCAGGGCCTCACACATGCCAGGCAAATGCTCTTCCACTGAGGCACATCTGTAGCCTGCCCTGAAGGATTTTTTTAAAAAAATATATCATTTTTTAGTTGTAGTGGAACACAGTATCTTTTATTTATATGGTAGTAGCGAGCGCAGTACTCCTGAGCCACAATCCCAGCCCTTCCTGAAATATTTTTACAGCTATTATTCTTACAGGGATAGGAAAAACCTAAATCCTGTCAGGTAACTATAAAGTGGAATCAAAAAGGAAAAAAATAATTTAACATTGTGATTTACCTATACCTAACTAATCATTTAGAAGACTTGCTTTTTCCTGAAATAAAATCAGAACTTTTCTCTTGATATATCACAGGGGAAAAAAAAGAAATAACAAAACACACACTTTTTTTTTTAAGGCCTTAGAATAACAGGCAAAGGAAGGGTTTGCATGTGATTGTGCAAGTGTGTGTGTGTGTATGTGTGTGTGTTGGCAGCAGAAGGGGAATAGGTGGTAGAAGAATCAAAAGAGGTTAACTGGTGAAACTAAACTCTTTCTCGAGGAATACTTAAAAGTTAACTCTGTAAAATTTTTGATACAAGGGACTGAACCCAGGGGTGATCAAACCAGACCAAATCCCCAGTTCTTTTTATTTTGAGACAAGGTCTCGCTAAGTTGCTGAAGCTGGCTTTGAATTTGTGATCCTCTTGCTTCAGCTTTCCAAGCCACTAGGATTACAGGTGTGCACAAAAGTTAACTCTTCACTTGTTCTGACATTTTTTTTTTTTTTTTGGTACTGGGGATTGAACCCAGGGTCACTTAACCACTGAGCCATGACCCCAGCCCCTTTTTATATTTAGAGACAGGGTCTCAGTGAGTTGCTGAGGGACTTGCTAAGTTGCTGAAGCTGGCTTTGAACTCCTGATCCTCCTGCCTTAGCAGTCAAAGCCACTGGGATTACAGGCATGTGCCATTTCATGTGGCCTGTTCTGACATTTCTAACTATTAAAATATTTTCTTACATTTAACATTAAAATTTTATGTTAAAATAAAAGTGATTTATTTTAAAAAAATTTTTTTAGTTGTCACTGGACCTAGGGCCTCACATATGCCAGGCAAGTGATCTACCATTAAGCCAAAACTCCAGCCCTAAAAGTGATTTCTAAAAACAGGACAATGTAAAAAAATTTTTTTCTTAGTTATAGACAGACACAATACCTTTGTTTTATTCTTATTTATTTTTCTGTGGTGCTAAAGATTAAACCCAGCACCTCACATGTGCTAGGTAAGTGCTCTACTACTGAGCCACAACAAAGCCCCAGGACAATGTTAATTTAATTACTTGGATTTCAGCTATTTAAAGATCTTGGCGTATATTCATATTTTGTGTATTTTTTACCTCTATATTCTACTGAAATCAAACTATATCAAAACATGCAAAAATTAGTCCACTGAGGAAGAAGCAAAGAGATTTTACCCCATGTGTCTACTTTAAAAATACATACTTTATAAGATGCCTTCATAAAACTACTTTGTTTCAATAATGAAAAATTAATTTCTCCTTAAGTTAGAGAATCATCTCATTTTCCTGAACTTATTTAACACATTTAACTTTGTAATCAAAAAGACTTAAAAAAAAAAACCAGAAATAAGAAAGTCCTGATTAAAAAAGTAGCCAAATCTAATAAACTAGAATTAAAAGTTAAAATATAGAAACAACATAAGATCCTGTATTAGTGCCTGTTCCAACCAGTGACCCTGGAAGTAATATGACAAGTGAATAGACAGATGCTTCCTGGACATTTCAAGCTTTCGCTTACATGTTTAAAAACAAATTGCATCATTTTTACCTACAAGTGGTCTTTCTGGTCTTCCTAAATCAATTAACGTAACTATTCCCTCTCCTTAAATCTTGGAAGTGTGACTTTTTCTTCTTATACCTCTATAATAAATTAGAGGCTAAGTGCTGTCCACTCTTTCTTCCCCTTCCAAACCTAATAAGCTCTTGCCCACTTATTACCTTTGCTCTCCAGGTTCCACTCTAGATTTACTTCTTGCTAACACTACCTCAACAGTATCTTGTCTTGGTCTTTCCAATTCCTATTCAATATCTTCAATTTTTCAATCATACTGGACATTATTTTGGAGTAATTTTCCAAGAATATATTTTATGTACATTTTAACCTGTGTCTATTTAAAAACCTTCAGGAAAACTAAAAATATAAGAGAAATCTGTATGCAAAAATACGTGCAGCAAATTACTACTAAGTGTTATATAACAATGCAAACAGAAATAAAATATCAAGAGTCCATCTATAATTAGAAGGCTCATCTTGTGTAAGAATCAATTAAGTGGGGCTGGGCTTGTGGCTCAGTGATAGAGTGCTCGCCTAGCACTTGTGAGGCACCGGGTTCAAACCTCAGCACCACATAAAAATGAAATGAAGCTATTGTGTCCACCACCTACAACTAAAAAATATATATTAAAAAAATACTGAAAGAATGATTAATTAAAAAAAAAAAAAGAATTAAGTGAAAACGTGGAAAAAGGTCCCACCTCACTAGTTAACAACAGAAGTCTTACAAAGAAGGAAAAAAAAGCAACATGTTTTTCACATATTAATAAAAATGCTAATTATCTGTGTTTTGGTCTGTTCTCTTAGGATTAATTTAAAGGATCATTCGTTATTCAGTCATTTTTATGACTTCTGAAACGACGTTTTGAAAAGGTCTATACTAATTTACACTATCACCCTCCATGTGAGTTTAGTTACTGGTATTGAGTAGTCTGTAATGAGTATTTTTCTTAATAGGTGAAAAACATGTTGCATTCCCCCCCCTTCTTTTTAAGATCATTTCCCTTTTCTCTCTCTCTCTCTCTCTTTTTTTTTGGATAATATTCCAACCACAAGGATCTTTACATGTTCAAATTCTTTCTAAGTAAAGCTTTTTGGGGGGGGTGGGGAATGTTACCGGGTATTGAACACTACCATTCTACCACTGAGCTACATCCCCAGCCCTATTTTTTATTTTATTTATTAGAGACAGGATCTCACTTGAGTTGCTTAGTACCTTGATTTTGCTGAGGCTGGCTTTGAACTTGTGATCTTCCTGCCTCAGCCTCCAGAGGCACATGCCACTGTGCCTAGCTAGTAAATCTTTCTTTTCTTGGGGGGTCGGGGTGTACCAGAGATTGAACTCAAGGGCACTCAACCACTGAGCCACATCCTGAGCCCTATTTTGTATTTTATTTAGAGAGGGTCTCACTGAGCTGCTTAGTGCTTTGTGGTTACTGAGGCTGGCTTTGAACATGTGATCCTCCTGTTTAAGCCTCCCGAGGCAGTGGGATTACAGGTGTGCGATAGTGCGCCCGGCTAGTAAATCTTTCCTGATACCTCTATATGTATTGCTACAAGATCTTTACCTAACTGGTTTACCAACTGCCCAAAATACATCTTTTCTTATATAATCACATTCTTGCTCACAACCTTCCATCCAATTATAAAGTCTTCTTTCTTTCTAATACCTACACACACACACACACACTCTTACATACACATGTATATATATGTATATCCCCAGCTCCTCTGCTCTTTCTTAAAGCAATGTTTCTTAAAAATTTCTAGATCTCCTTGACTGTATAGAGAACTTTATTATTACTTAAATCTTTAAATAAAGATCTAATTTTCTTAAATCTTTTGAAGCATGTATTTAGACTAACTTTTCATGTTTAATTATGTTCTCTTTTATTGACAGTAAGTTTCTCAAGCACAGATCCTTGTAGAAAAGCCATTTAGTAACCAGATCTGCATAAATCCAAATCCTAAGTATGCTGTTATTCTATTTTTAATTATATGTAGAAAAACATCATTATCTATGACTCCATGTGGCCATAAAATCATCAGTGAGCTGATTTTAGAGCTGATTAGATAGAGCAAAAGACAATATAGATTAAAATGTATGCTTTGATTATAAGCAAATTATGTAATTTCTCAAAAATAAGTCTAGGAATCAGTTCTACTCAACTTAGCAATCAGTTCTATTCTGAACATATACTGATATTTCCAGAAATAACTGCATAATGGAATAAATTCTATTATTTTTTACACACACACAGGGCCAACCTTGATTATTTAAGGATAAACTAAAATTACACACCAGAAATGGGATTTTTCAAGACACAGAAGATTCAAGTCTTTCAAAAACTGGGATACATAGCTTCATTTCCCCAGAAAAATCAGTCTTATTCTGAAAGACAAAGACTTCTTTTAATTTTGTTCTGAAAGACAAAGACTTCTTTTAATTTTGAGTTATGTTATAGCTTAGACATTTAGAATACACACTATTATAAAAAAAAATATCTTGTTGCTGAACTCTCACTGGTCAAATTTTCTTTTCAAGTTTTTAGAAAGAAAGAGGGACCCCATGAATATGCTCACGGTGTTCTTTGATAAAAATATTAAGTATTACTTAAAAATTCAAAAATGGAAGCCAGTCCTGGTGGTGCATACCTGTAGTCCCAGCTACCCAACAGTCTGAGGCAAGAGGAAAATCTGAACTCAGGAGTTTGAAGCCAGTCTAGGAAGCATGGCAAGTCCCTGCCTCAAAAAAAAAAAAAAAAAAAAAAAAAAAATCAGAATCAGGAATGACATGAATGGTTAAACAAATACAAGGATGTCCTTAGATTTTAGTAAAAAATACCTCATAGGGCACTAATTATATACCTTCATTTGAATCCGTAAATAAAACATTCTTTCAAAAATAGTTTTATATCACTGAAACATCACTAATAATTTGACATTTTGATTCTGTATGAAGTATTACTCTCGTTAGTCAAGTTCACTAAGTTATAAAGATGTGCAACTTAGGCTGGGGTTGTGGCTCAGCACTAGAGCACCGACCTAAAATGTACAAGGCCCTGGGTTCGATCCTAAGCACCACATAAAAATAAATAAATAAAATAAAGGTATTGTGTCCAACTATAATTTAAAAATAAATATGTGCAATTTTATAATTTCCTTCATTTATGTCTATGAAAAATATTGTCTAGTAACTCTTCAGTTAATATTTATCTGCAGTTGCCTTCTATTAAGATTTAAAATCCTTAAAGAATTGATGAATAAAGTCTTAAGAAAATTATATTGATACATTATTAATGTTCTGTAAATATGTATTTTATTAATAACTACAAATCAATTGAAAATTAAGTATTTTGGGGGCTGGGGATGTGGCTCAAGCGGTAGCACGCCCGCCTGGCATGCGTGCGGCCCAGGTTCGATCCTCAGCACCACATACAAACAAAGATGTTGTGTCTGCTGAAAAAAACTAAAATAAATAAATAAAGAGAGAGAGAGAGAGAATTAAAAAAAAAAAAAAAATTAAGTATTTGGAACATTAAAAAATTTGAAGGTTACCCTGGCATCTATAGAACATCATTAATTTTCAAAAGTACTATTAAAAATGTTATGTTAGCTTATTATTTCTCACATTTTGTATACAATTGTGCATACAGATTCAATATCTTACAATGTACCAGGAGGAGGAACATATTGGTAATTAAAAACAGTTGCTGCCTTTTGGGAACATTCTTAAACCGGAGAAGAGGCAAATAATTGCAAAGAAAGTGAGGTGAAAGGCATGTAAAGGGTCCTATAAGGCTACAATAGCACTAAGGGAATGTATATGTAAATATGAGAAACTTTAGGGAAGGCTGCATGGAAGCACAAAGAAGTAATACCCAACTGACTTGAGTATTAAATCCTTGAGGGGAAAAAAAAAGAAAACTGTAATAATTCTATTTGAGTAACAGATCTCAGAAATAAAGAATAAACAGAAAACTGGGCGGAAGGTTTCAATTAAAAAAAAGGACAACAAATAAAATCATAAGGCAAGAGAGCTTTCTTATGGACAATTGTACATGTATCCAAACCCTCAAATGTATAATTCTTTTGGCCTTATATTTCCACTTCTGGGAATTTATTACAAAAAAATAATTAGGGGTATGCTAGAAGATCTACATGCCTAGAAATTTTAGTCACTGATATGTACAAGGATATTCACTGACATATTAGTGCTATTATAGAAAAGTAAACAAAACAGGTCATATAAATTATGGTACATCTGTCCTATCTAACACTATGAGGCCATGAAAGATGCTTTATGGATAAATTATTTCTGATGTTCCCAGGGGGTAAAAAATAAGTACAATGATATATCATACATATATATATATATTATTTTATTTGTAATTGGACACAATACCTTTATTTCATTTATTTACTTTTATGTGGTGCTGAGGATCAAACCCAGGGCCTTGCACATGTTAGACAAGCGCTGAGCCACAACCCCAGCCCTAGAATGATATTTTAAACCATCAAAATAACTCTCTGCACAGTATGAACTGTAATTACTATCATTGGGTAGAAGAAATTTTGGGGGTTGGGGTTGTGGCTCAGCGGTAGAGCGCTCATCTAGCACATGGGAGGCCCTGGGTTCGATCCTCAGCACCACATATAAATGAATAAATAAAGATATTGTGTTCAACTACTTCTAAAAAATAAATATTAAAAAAAATAAATACAAGAAATTTTTATCTTCTTTGGGTTTTTCAGTAATTTCCAAAAGATCACTGACACGCAGTGCATATTTATATAAAATAATAACTCTATAAAGTTGGTAATATTAACTATGTGTGAATGCCCCCTGGGAAATTTGATATTATTCTACTGTTTTATAATTACCTTTTAAACAAAATCACCTCACTCTTAAACTTGCTTATTGATAAGATCTCTGTATAAGAAATTTTTAAATGGGGGGAGGGGTTATAAAAATATACAGTGTTCCTTCATAAAAACATGAAGCGCTCTGAAGTCCAGAAATAAGAACTACATGAATAGGTAAACAATTCTGAGGATGTCCTAATTTGGGGATTTCAAACATCACATCTGAAGCTAATTAAGCAGACTTATTTGAACCCGTGACCAAATAAAACCTCTTTCAACTACCATTCTTGCATTCTAGTATTTATTTACTAGCCCACAGAAAACGTTTCCTGGTGGTCCACTCAATTGTAGAGTCTTACAGATATTAGAACTCACCTCTATCATACTTGAGCTGTTTGCCACTGATATGCTGTCTTCAACCAACTGCCAAAAAGAAAAAGTAAACAAAAAACCCCAAAGAGTTGTTAAATCACTCCACTGTTCTCTAGTCTTGAGGCCCACATAAGTATAAGCATCTATTCAGTTAAGTATGACTAGGTCACTCACTGGAAATATAGACATGTTTCACATTTTTAATGAACAATTTTGAGAAAAATCAACTTGGTAAAAAATCAATTCTACGTTAAAATGTCCTCTTGTGCAAATTTAGTCGGTGTTGACTGTCAAAGATATTACATTCTTTATAAGTGTCAATAACCCAGATGCACTATTTAGAATATGTCAGTTCTTGACTGCTTTAACAGACAAAATTTTGCTAACAGCTCCATGCAGGTACCATAGGGGAAGTCCTTTCAACAAAGGTATTTTCAGTTGCAGAGGTATTGCTAGTCTCTTACACAAAGTAGCCTCGACGAGCACAGTGACACTCATCTTGACTAAGGTCACAGTAGCAGCCTCTGAACCAGCAAGTAAATTCCTTGGCATTCTAAATGCCAGAACCTGCTAGCTTCCTCCAAGCTTCGAAAGGGAGGGGTAGGAGGAAAACACCTCCCCCAACGCAAGAGGTTTCAAAGAACCATATCCTCCCTGTGTTAACAAGGACACCCCTACGGCGGTAACTACTCTGGTGGAAAATATGACAAGTCCCTGAAACGCACTTCCAAAGGGAGGAAAAACTGCTCGGAGAAAAGCAGAATCCAGAACACCGCTCATTCCCTTGAGTAGGGACCACGGGATTACCTCCCAGGACCACGAGTCAGCCTCCTCAGCCTTTCTCTTTCCTCGGCGGGAGAGGAAGCCTCGCCTCCTTACACCCCGCCCCCACACTCCACCCCACGGCGGGGAAACTTACTATAACCATGGCCGCCTGCGGCCCCTTCACTTCCGGTGCCGGTGCCGCTAAAGCTGCGCCATCCCCTAGTCATTCAGACAACCATAGCCTCCAACTCACCTTTTCAAAAGCTCTGAGACTCCACCGGTCTTCATTGAGTGCTGTCCCGGAGCGAACGCTGAATGGGCGCCACATTAAAATAAATCTACCGGCTGAAAACTCCGCTTCCTCCAGCCAGGAACATAAAATGCGATAGAGCTGCGACCACTGCTGCCGGGACAAAATGGCGCCGAGAAGCTGGTTTAGCGCAGGCGCCTTGGAAACACCCTGCCCCGCCCCCGTGCAAGCTCCTGGCTGCTGTTCTGGGTTCCGTTTCCATGGGACACTCCACCGCCAATCCTCGAGTGGAACTGCTCTTCCTGACCCCTCAATGCACCAATCAGTGCTCAGTCAAGCACATCCGGAGTCGTCTCTCCCAATCACTTCTCAGGACTTGCTTACTCAATCCCTGATTCTCCAATAAGGTTGGGCTTCGAAGACAGCCAATCATAAGTGGAAGATATCCTACCTGCTGTTTTTCCCACCAATCCGTGAAGTTTCACATCTACATCCAATGAGAACGGCAGGTAACGAGCTCCAATCCAAAGCTCTTCGGCGTCATGGGCAGCCAATAGGAGTTCGTGTAGAAGAGAGTCTGCTCAACAGCTTGTTATTTGGTGGATTGTGGCAGTAAATCGGGGCGAGTGGGGAATCCGGCGCAGGAACTGCCGCCGCGGCCCGGAGTGGTGTTTCCCGGACGGGGGCCCACGGCGATCAGTGGGGTGGAGGACTCGAGAGCTGACAGCTCGCACTTCACCCTCAGTAGGTAGGTGGGGAGAAGGGAAGCGGGTATACTGAATGGTCTAAGCGGCAGTAGCAGCTGGTGCTGCTGCCCGGGGTCCCAGTGCAGTTGGAAGCTTTGGAGGAAGGGAGGAAGATGCTAGGCAAGCGGTGCAGCGAGCGCAGGAGAAGTGGCAAGTCAGGGAATAGCGGCAGCAACTGCAGGAACCGCCGCGGCAGCCCCCTCCTCGGCCGCTTCCCCCGGTTACCCGGGAAAATGGCTGTGGGGCTGGCCGCGCCGCTAAGTTTGCTTCCGCGCGGTGAGAAGCCGGCTGCTTGGGGGAGTCGGCCCCCAACTCCGTGGTGCGTCCTTCTCTATGAAGTCCATGGCAGGACCCTGGGGGCTAGGGGCTGGGTAGCTGGTATCTCTCCGGGCTGTACAAAAAGTTGAGGCGGGCGCGGGAGGAGGCGGCGGCTGCCGCTGTGCGGCTCCCCTCCCCTCCCACACCCTACCCTGTCCGGGCCACCTCCCCTCCTCCTCCCCGCCCCCCAGCCCCCTCCTCTGCGCTGGGCTCCCCGTGAGCTCGCGGCTCCGGGCAGCAGGCCGCCGCCCCTGCCCCTTCGGGTGAAGGAGCGCTTCTCCTTCTGACATGGTGCAGAGCGAAGGAAGGAGAGCAATGGCGCCGTGACACTCCGCTGCCGCCACCGCGGGCCCGGGGCGGGCCGAGGGGGCCGAGCGG